GGTAATAATTACTGCTTATATAAAATGGCTTTTCTGGGTGGAATATTCATGGTTACAGCATAGTTTCTATATGAATCTGGTGTTAAATTTTGTGCTCTACAAGATAGGATAGGTGGCAGGATGATATAATCAAAATAAACTTTCTGCAAATAGTGCCCATGGGCAATAATTACTGCTTATATAAAGTGGCTTTTCTGGGCCAAATATTCATAATTACAGCATCGTTCCTATATGAATCTGGTGTCAACTCTTGTGCTCTATAAGGTGGGGTACATGGCGGGACAGAATATGCAGATGTTTTAAGTTTGTCCCATAGCCACTGTTCTATTGATCTGAATTGTCTCAAAAAGGAAAATATTATATAACATGATAGCCACAGTTGGTGGCTACCTGTGGCATATCTTATCTTATCAATCAGATAAGAAACGCAGAAGATATGCATACATCATTGATAAACACCAGTAAATTACTAGTAAATTGTGTGTAACTTTCACATTTATTGACTTTTGTTAATGGTGTTTTAGTGGGGTATCTGTATAATGATGGTAGCTACAACTTTTGTTATTGGGCCATTAACATGTTAGTTGAAGGATTAACTTATATTTAACTTTTTCATAAAACACTAGTAAATTACTAGTAAACTGTGTGTAATTGACTTTTGCTAATGTTGTCTTAGTAAAGTATCCATATAATGATGATAGCTACCTCATAAATATGATTGGCTTTGATGATTATTTGTATAAGTATTTGTCATATCCTAAACCAACTCCATCAGTCTCCGGAACTCCAAACACTTCTCTGTGCCAAAACCATCGCGTCGAACGTTTTCCACAAAACCCCGGTTTCCTATCTTTCAGAAAAATTGCTAAGTCTCCTCAGCTAATCACAATCTATCATCTGGGCCAACATTACTCTAGTACACATTCCTCATACTCCACTTCACAGCTTTCCACAATTCTTACTAATCCTTTGTTCTAGTATAAATACTGTAGCGACTTTACTGTAAATTCCTCAGTTCGTATATCAACTAAGTTTTCTCCTCTAATCTCAGTTCTCCTCTAAGTCTCTTCGCTTCTCCTAAACTCTCCCACTTCATTACTCCTATCTTCCTTCATACTTCACAAACTTCGACTCCACCCTCCTCTGACTTCCAGACTTAGATCCAGCATCAGGAAAAACTCACTGAGCTTATATAGTAACTATAGTGCTATATAGTGCTATAGAGCACCTATAGATCTTATAGCTCTCATAGTTTAGTCCCCTTTATAAAGCACTATATAGATGGGACTCTGTTATATAGTGCTATGTAGTGCTATATAGATGTGTCATATTGTGTATAGCTGGGACATTTCTGGAGCATATATGTCAAAATAAATTTCAACTAATGTACATCCATTTAATATTGGTTGAACAGAAGCGGTTTTAATCATATAAAACCAAAATAAAAAGATTTCTCATGTTATCACCACTGGGAATTGAACCCATGCATCCCCTCTACTTACATCAGCTACTAACAACTGATGCCTTAGACCACTCTGCCATGCTGGCTACATTAATACTGAGTCAGTTGAGTAATATATACACCAATCACTGGACTTGGAGATATTTTCCTAAATGTTGGACTTCATGACATTCAATTTACAACATCAATATTTAATGATATATCACCTTTGTGCAATATATACCATAATTCTTGGACTTAGCATATTTTTGCAATTGTGATCAAGTGTCTTTTACTAATATTTGTTGCACCACCAACCAAGCACTTATACAATTATCTCCCATAGTATATCTATATACTAAAAACTATATATTTTTGAGATTAAGTATACAGTTGATTACATTTTTGACACAGTCAAAGTATAACTACTATAACAGCTATCTGAGCTATAAAAGCTATTATAGCAGCTAGAGCTAGCATGGTAATATTGCCACATTAAGACATTGTTATTTGTTAATGAATCCACATTTTATATAAAGTAGCCATGACATATATAATCTTAACAACAAAATCACCTAAATAGATGTTCTTTGTATAGTCTAGCTATATGAGCTATAATAGCTACTAAAGCCAGGTGGGAAATATTTCTGCATTTAGAATGAGGCTATTTGTGTATATTTATCACAGCCACCTTACTTTACATGATATAAAGCCAAACTCTACCAAATACCAACAAATCAGTTTAACTATAACAGCTATAAGTGCTATAATAGCTATCATAGCACATATAGATGAGGGTGTTGCTATATAGCCAAACGAGTTTTCCTGATGGGGGTGGAGGATGGTGTTGTGCGGAACCTCGGGACATCCTCCCGCTTTTTCTGGCGCCCTCCTCCGTACCAGTTCGGGATGTTGGGGAAGGGGCAGAGACCACGTGGGTGTGTAAGCGAGTGGCATAAGCCGCATTGCGGGAGGAAGCCGGCAGTTCCGATCCCGTCTAGGGTGGAGGCGTATGAGATGGCTGCGAGGTATTTTCGGAGTTTGGTCCATGTGGTGGGGTCGGTGGTAGGGCTCTGTGCGAATACATTGAAGGCAGGGGCGGATATGCCACCGCGTTCTTTGTTGTCGATGAATTCGATGGACAGGGATAGTACGAAGTCTATGATTTTGGTTTCATAGGTGGAGTCTGAGAAGTCAAAGCCAGACGCTACAATGCCTTCTACGTCGTGTTGGACGAGGGGTTCAGTCCAGGCATTCGACACGACTTCTTGAATGGTGACGCAGTTGCTAGTGTGGTAGCCGAATAATGTGAATAAGAATGTAGGGGGATCTTTGTCGTGCAAGGGGCACGCTTCGAAGGTAATGGGTGGCGTGGACACTTTTTGTGTGAGGAAGTACTCAGCGAGCTCGAGAGGGATATTCGACACCAGGTATCCTTCTGGGATCCATTTCTTGTTGTGGTTCGAGAGCAGGGTTAGCTCCGACACTTTGACGGCTAGGTTCTCCTGATAGAGGAACGGGGTGATTCCGGAAATGGTCTGCTTGGCTGTCTCTGCGAGAGTTGTAGGGGATTTTCCTTTGTATTCGAAGATTCTGATTAGGAACTTCCCTAGGTTCTTCTTGTTTCTGAAAGAGCCCCACTCGTTAAGAGCTGAGGGGGCTATGAAGTCGGTGATATGACCGCCATGGGATAGGTGGATGGTAGGGAAGCCTTCAGGCGGAGCGGGGGTCACAAGAATCTGCGATGGAAGGGTGGACGCTGGTCCTGAGTGGGTGAAGGCTCTGTTTTCCAAGGCTGTGGCCATCTGAGCACGGATTATAGTGGTGAGCCTTGACATCGTCAGATGGGATTTGGGGAGGTTACGGGGCCCGGGGGTGGGCGTTCTGTCAGTGGGGTGGGCGTGGTCAGAGCTTCCAGTGGTGGGCGTTGGTTGTGGTACAGTGACTGCGTTGTCACGGGCTATTTTTGGGGCGTGCATGGAGGCATGGACCCCATTTGCTTCAAGGAAGAAGGCATCGAACGTCTTTTCGTCTATTTCCGAATCCTGGGCTATCGAGGCGTTAGTTCCGTGTTATGGTTATACGGTTCATTTTTACCTGTGAGCGAGGTGTATGTGGAAGGATCTGGGGCGGCCTCGCCCAGGGGAGCACGTATCTCTAGGTCGATTTCGTCCATCGCCATGTTCTCGTCGTCATCCTGGTTGCTATATTTTTTGGTTAACTCGTCAACTGCTGGGTTCACAGGCTGAACGGGCGATGGTGGGGGTTGCTGAGGGCGATTGCTCATGGGTGTGGAGTGTGAGGAAGGGGCTGATTTCGATGAGGGTGCTTTGGTCATTGTGGGAGGAGGTAAGGGTTCGGGTGCGTTACCGTTTGTTATATAGTGGTTTGGGGTGGCAGTCCACTAGCCAGAGGGCCTTATTTGTGTTCGTGCATTTATGTTCATGGTTTCCCCGTGTGCGTCGGCGAGTCTAGGTGTGGTGGGAGGTCGTGTTTTCGCGCATGACCTTTCGTTCGCTCTGAGTTCTTCGTTGGGTAGTTGTTGATTGGCCGAGTGGCGATGGAGTGCAGATCAGTGTCTACAGATTGTCTTACGTCTGGGTCGGATGCGGGTTGTTGCCCTGGCTTATGGTTGGTTTTTGTCATGGGGCAGGGGTAGCCATTCACTTCTACACTGGGGCCCGCGGTGTCTTGGGCATCTAATGTGTCGCATATGTCAAGTTCCTGTGTCATTATTGGCACATGTTGGGTCCGTCTAGGTTCGGGTGCTCTGACGTAGCACTTCGGGGGTTCGTTGGTCATTGGTTATTTTGGCCTGGTGTCGCCTTACTGGGTTCTGAGTCTGAGTTCGTGGGTATGGGCGTCGATACGTGTTTTGGCAGGTCAGTTCCATTCTTGGGTGGCTGCTCATGGGGGTGTGGTCGTGTGTCTCCTACGGCTTGTAGCGCTGGGTTCTCCTGTCCACGTAACTGTTGGGCTGCATTTCCTGTTGTGGGTGGTCGATCAGCGAGTTGGGTCAGTTTTGTGTTTCTTTGGTGGGCGACGGTGGTGTCAGGTGTGGGCATTTCATTCTATGTGTTTGTGTTAGGTAGGGCTCGGAGCTTCCTTGTTCCAGCCTTGATTCTGGACCTTGATGCTATGGTTTACGTTGGCATAGAGCCAGGTGATTGGGATCGGGTGGAGGTGATTGGTGGTGAGTGCGGGCGCGGATTTTGGTCTCGATCCAGTGCTGAGGAGGTGAGTTGTATTTCCGCACTTTGTGCGTTTCGGGAGTGGGTGACTGGTGCATCAGTGTGGTCTCGGGGCCGGTATTATGTTTAAGGGTTTATCTGATGGACGCATAGTGGATGTGCTCGTTTATTTGGCGACGGTTGGACGCACAGTGTTGTTCTGGGCTTCCGACTCCATGGTGGCTCGGGCTAGTGTTTAGCCCTGGTGGGGAGGTGTAGGTGCTCTCAGGTTTTATTGGGTTCGGCCATCCAAGTGTTGGCGCAGTTGAGAGGGGGTTGTATTAAGGCTATGTATCGTGGATGCTGTAGCAGTAAGTAGTTAACAACAAAAGCAGGATATATCGGAGCACTATTCTAAGTCTGTTATCTGGGTGTCTGGGTGTGAGCGAGGGAGTGGCTTAGCGGCTATCGTCGTGTGATAAGTGATGATGATATGGTACTAGGTGTGCGAGTAGGGAGTGTGGGAGTGGCTGTAGGAAATATAAACACAGGTGCTATTAATGGCTGGTGGGTCTGGTTGTCCATTGTGCTCCAGTTGAGTTGGGGTCATTACATGTCCCCAGTGCGCTCTAACTTTGGGTGTAACCCGTCAAAGACTATCTGGCCGTCTTTGTCACGGACTATTTTCCAGTATGGCTTGGCTTTGTCGGATTTGGGGCGGGGGCCGAAAACTGGCTCCGGCGCAGGTGTGGCTAGGATGGGGAGTAGGATTGTATGGGCTATGGCTGCGAAACGGCTCAGGGTACAGTGCGTAAGGGGTACAAGGAGGGTGAGGGAACCAGCCGGGGGTCATTGACCATGGTGGGGTTAGGGGCTGGTGGGCCGCCGTCAGGTGTGGGGTCATTCTGGACTATTTGTGGCTTGGGTATTTTGTCACGCTGGACTTTGAACTTGACACATTGTGCGTTCCAGCCCGCAATCTCTTGAATGTGGCCAGTGGCAGCTGGTTTCAGGTTCTCTGGAATTGAGAGTGACGGTGGGTCATGGAATATGGATATTTTACATCCAACACTAATTTTGTCGTTTCCTTCCAGGTCCAGGCGTTTCTGGAAGACCCAG